GGGCTGGACGCTGCCCGGCTGGAAACGTCGGCCGCTCTGCGAGGATCCTTTCTCTGATCCACCTCGGCTCCGGCGAGAAGAACCCTCGTCCCACATGCTGTTACCAGCGTGGCCAACTCATGATTTGAGAGGTTGTTCTTCAAGCCCTTGCTCCCGGAGGAAAGAGCTGCTATGGGGCTCTCTGCTGTTGTTGAAGAGAAGCAAGCCAGCCGGCTCCTCGCCTTCACAGTGGCAGAGAAAAGCCTGAAAACGCAGCTCACAGGATTCGCAATGTTCACCGTTTGTGATGGTACCAGGAACGCAACCATCGTAAATGACAGGGGTTTCCTGTATGCCTTACACTGCAGGAAAAACTGGTCATGGCGATGAGTTTCAGAGCCCTGATCTGCTGACTTGGGCTCATGAACTAAAAATAAGACCGTCTATACTGAGTCAGACCAAAGTTCCATCTAGCCCAGTGTCCTGTCTTCCAGCAGTGGCTAATGCTAGTTGCCCCAGAGGGAGTGAACAGAACAGATACTCATCAGGTGATCCCTCCTCTCTTGCCCATTCCTAGTCCTGATAAACAGAGAGTGGGGACAGCATCCCTGCCCATGTTGGCTAATAGCCATTGATGGACCTATCTTCCATGAATGTATCCAGCTCTTTTGAACCCCGGTAAAGACTTGGTCTTCGCAACATCCTGGGACAAAGAGTTCTGTGGATTGGCTGTGTGTTATGTGAAGAAGTACTTCCCTTTGTTTGTTTTAAACCTGCTGTTTATTCAGTAGCCATGTAAATGTTCAGCTTGGGCTCTGAGACCTGCCTGCTTTGGCAAGTTTTCAGAGCCCAAGTAGGAACATCTCCCCAGCTACTTTTAGCCCGAGATCATGAGCCCAAGTCAGTTGACATGGGCTCTGAGAATTGCAGCTGTGGTTTTTTTTTGCTGTATAGACATATCCAGAGAGCCGCTTGAAAACTGGAAGGGAACCAGTTTTATTTTAAGAGGGATAAGGGAGCTTTCGGAAAAGGCTTTATTTTCCGAAATAAAGATCCACGTCTAGACTGGCACTTTTTTCCAGCAAAACTCCTTGCCGAAAAAAAGCGCCAGCCATTTTTATGCTAATGAAGCGGGGGAGATTTAAATCCCCGCTTCATTAGCAATTGCGATACGTCTAATTTGCATCCCTTTTACGAAAAAGGGATGCAATCTAGACGTAGCCAACGATTAAAATTAGGAAAAGAATTGTTTGTACTGCACACAAAGCCTGATTTGCAAAGATACAGTTGTTACACCGTACCCATCACTGCATATTTCATACCGTGTAGCTCAAACTCAGCAGCCGAATGCACTCAGCAGAATTAGTCTGGCATTTCATGATTAATGTGGATAGACGTCCCGTATCTAACCTGTGGAGAGCACAAAGGAAAGACAGCAGCAACCTGACTTGACTTGGCAAATTCCCAATAGGGCGGGAGTACACAGTACAATCTGGTCCAGTTTGCCTACAATGGGTTTTTAGCAGAGCCATCCCATCAGTAGGATGAATTGGGTAGCTGCCCCAGGGTCCGTGCTTTTGGGGCCCCCACAGAGGATTATGGGACCTGGCATGGTGGCAGCAAGGATCACCTCTTCCCTCACCATGCTGGAGGTGGGGGCCAGAGCAACCCAGCAGCCTGCTCTGCTCCACCTCTCTGCCCTATCCCAGCCCACTGCGTGCAGCTTCTCAGCAGTGGTGGGAAGCAGAACGCTCCAGCCCCAAAGTGTTCCACCTCTGTGGAGAAGCGAGGCACAGTGGACTGGGAGGACACCACGGTAGGGTAGGGCAGAGTAGGTTGCAGGGCCCATCCGGCTCCCGTGCCCAGCCCCTCTAATGCCCTGGGCCACATTGCCTGGAGGAGAGGGTAAGGAAGCGGAGCGGAGGGGAAGGGGTGGAGCGGGGGAGGTCACTTGCCTGCTGAGTGACATGAGGCAAGTCATTTCAGCTTTCTATGCCTCAGTTTCCCCATATATAAAATAATAACACTGACCACCTTTATTAAGTGCTTCGAGACCTACTGATGGAAAGCATAGCTAAGCTAAGTATTGTTATTTCTAGGTGTTTGCACAACCTTTAGCACGATGGGGCCTCGGCCTAAGCTCTCATCATAAATACCATAAGAACAGCCATTGTGCTTCAAGTCAGTGGTCTGTCCAGCCCATTATCCCGATTTCTGACAACGGCTAGTCCCACATGAAGGCAAGAACAGAACAGGACAATTTCAGGAGAACCATCCCCTGTCCTCTTAGAAACCAAACAATTTCAAGAAATGGATTAACTTTTGGGGACACCTGGAGATGTCGTTGCATCTCAGCCCCATCTAAGCTAAGAGCCATTGATGGATCTATCCTCCATGATCCAATCTAATTCTTTTTAAAATGCAATTATATGTTTGGCTTTCCCAACGTCCCATGGCAACAAATTCTACAGGTGGACTGTGGACTTACGTTGTTAATATCAGTATGGGCCAGGTGTTCTGAGATGATAAAAATTCCATGCAGGCTAATCAGATTTGATTTTTTTCAGGTAGTCTCCTCTCTGAATAGTGAACCAAACCACATCCTCAGGGCCAAACGCCACCCAGACTCCAGGGAGTTTATACTCCAGGTCTTCAAACCAGATGCAAATTCTGGAACGTGAATCCCTCTATATTGCATTTAAGTTTTATTAAAATCAGATTGTGGAAATATGCATCTCCAATCAAAAAAATATTCAGGCCTATTCATAACCTGTGATAAGGAACCATAAGATGAGACCCAGTTTTCCAGGTAGACTATTATAATTTATTAGGGCTGTCAAGCGATTAAAAAAATTAATTGTGTGATTAATTGCATTTTTAAACACTAATAGAATTTCATTTATTTAAATATGTTTTCTGCATTTTCAAATGTATGTATTTCAATTAGAACACAAGTGTTCAGAAATGTACAGTGTTCACATAGTTACAAATATTTGCACTGTAAAAACAAAAGAAATAGTATTAAGTGAATTGAAAAATACAAATACTGCAATACAATCTCTTTATCATAAAATCTGAACTTAAAGATGTATAATTATGTACAAAAACAACTGCAGTCAAAAAGTAAAACCTTAGAACCTAAAGTCCACTCCATCCTACTTCTCATTCAGGCAGTCGCTCAGACAATTACATTTGGTTACTATTTGCAAGAGATAATGCTGCCCTCTTCTTGTTTACAATGTCACTCACCTAAAAGTGAGAGTAGGGGTTTGCTTGTACTGTTGTAGCCAGCCTCACAAGATATTTACCAGCTAGCTGCGTTGAAGACTCACATGTCCCTTCATGC